CCGTCCCCATGGGTTCATTGCCCCCACACAGCCTGAGCCACCCCCCGTCTCATCCTATGGGCTCTGCACCACCCCCATTCCGAGCTGTTCCCCTGTCCTGCCCCGTGCACTCAGAGCTGTCACCACCCTGAGCCTGCCCCATCCTGCCCCGTGGCCTCAGTACTTTCCACCCTGAGCTGCCATTCTTCCCCTGTCCTGTCCCCTGGGCTTACATAGACACACTTACCCACGCTTGCCACTGGTGGTTAGTTACCAGTTGCTCACATTAGCCTGCTGGGCAAGTTGGCTACGTGTGAGGAATCCAGGTTCGCTTCTGCCAGGACCTAGATTCCAGTCTGATTAGGAAAGCAGGCCTCCTTTTATAATGGTTCTTCTCCATCAGGATTAGTAGGTTTTATAGCATCTTGCTGTTTTTCTGGCAGATATCTGTTACCCCAGTTGTTCTTGCCCCTTATCATCTTTGTTCCATCATGCTAAGCTGGTTTGGATAATGAATATCTTATCCCAATTGATAAATGCTCGAGTTTTCCCTCAGTGTCCAGGGTTGCCAATCTGCTCTTTTGTTTTGCCTTCTAGTCTGTTGTTCAGTATCCCTGGTTCAGTGGTGGCCTTCATATCATTCACATGTTCCTTACGCTCACACATAACAAGGATTAAAAGCAATTTTTTTATGGTTTGGATAATGAATATCTTATCCCAATTGATAAATGCTCGAGTTGTCCCTCAGTGTCCCGGGTTGCCGATCTGCTCTCTTTTGTTTTGCCTTCTAGTCTGTTGTTCAGTATCCCTGGTTCAGTGGTGGCCTTCATATCACTCACATGTTCCTTATGCTCACACATAACAAGTATTAAAAGCAATTTTTTTTAAAGCAAAACATTGCATTCTTTCACTATGCTGTGTTATGTGCTTTAAAACTAAACAAAATAATAATAAAAATCCAAATCTATTTCTACAGTAATTCTAAATCATTTCTATAACTATAAAAATCAAAATCTATTTCTAATTTAAAATATTTTTTAAAAAATATTAGAACTTGGTACATTAAAACTTAAATGCTTAAAATGTCACTAAAAATAAAAAATAGGATTTATTTCTACTACACCGCTGTGTTCCTCCCATCCTGCCCAGTGGCTTCAGTACCCCTCCCCACTCCAAGTCACTCCTCATCCTTCTCTGTGGTCTCAGCGCCATCCCCACCCTGACCTGCCCCCACTCTCCTGTTCCCTGGGCTCAGCGACACCTCCTTTCTGAGCTGGCCCCTGACCTCACATACCCCATCCTGCCCCGTGACCTCAGCATTCCCCTGCCCTCTCCTCCCCCCGCCCTGTCCTGCCCTGTAGACTCAGGGCCCCTGTCCCAACCCTCTGTCCTGCCTTGTGGGCTCAGCACAACCCCTATTCTGAGCTGCCCCCCTGACATGTCTCATAGGTTCAGTGACACCCCCACTCGGAGCCACCCTGTGGCCTCAGCGCCCTCCCCACCCCAAGCTGCCCCCGTCCTCCTCGTGT